TGTTCCAGGAGTCCATACCCTGTGCTTGGGTTGTGATAGGCACAGCTACCCCTGCCCCAGGGAGGAGTGCAATCCTAGAGAACAGCCAAGGAAAGGTTCAAGGAGAGAAATATGGAGTGGGTGGTTTCAGGAACTTTTTCATCTGCTAATACAAAGGGTTGAGTTTTGTTTGGGTTTTTTGTTTGTTTTTGTTTTGTTTTGTTTATTTTAATTAATAGCAAAAAATTCTTTTGAGTTTTTCAGTAATAGCAGGATAAAGTAAAGATGGAGAATGACTTTAGCCTTCAGTGGAGGGGGTTACATTTGACAGCAGAGCAAGTAAAAGCTGCTGCTGAACTGGGAGGGAAGTCTGACGTTGGGGAAATTGAATTGATAAATACACAAGAAGTAATCCCCAAGGTATTTTACATGTGACTTGATGCAGCCATTATTTCAAGAAAATTGAACAATAAATGCAATTAGCCAGAAAGTGACAAAGATTTTAAAATCTTCCTTAGAATTACTGACAGCAAGATTTCTTCTGGAAAGGACCATCACAGACCAAGGCCTTTTTCACAGTAAAGATGCCACCAAAGGAAAACAGGTTACTCATGGCCATGCTCAAGTGATTTCTGAACAACCACAGGGCTAGAGATTCTCCAGGGTCTCTGGCCTTGCCAAGCAGCAGACTGGATGTGAGGGCACTCTAAGGTCACTTTCAGCCTGAATTGTCTTGTGATCCCACAATCCTCCTGCCTTGCATTGTCACTCAAGCTCATGATTTATGGATCAGGACGGGCAAATCCGAGTATCACCTGAGCTGTATTGCTCCTGAGGAATCTTGCTCTAAAGAAAGGGTCTCAGCTGATAATCTCACATTACAGGTGTGGAAGCCCACAGCACATTTATTGGCAAGTCTGTTCCGGAAATACCTCTCACCTTCCCTTCGTCTTCCTTTAGTAATTCTCAGGAAAACACACAAGCACCTCCCTCCCACAACACACTTATATTGGAATATGTATCCCAATATAACCAGTTAGATGGTGCCTAGGCCAGTTCTGACCTTCGCTGCTTGGCCAGAGGCAGCACTGCGGTGTTTTACCCCAGAGATACCTTGGCTGGCGGCAGAGTGCAGCGGGGCACAAGACAGGACTCCGTT